GTAGTAGTAATAATAGTAATAGTAATAATAATAGTAATAATAGTAATAGTAATAGTAATGGTAATAGTAGTAATAGTAATAATAATAGTAATAATAGTAATAGTAATAGTAATAGTAACAGTAATAATAGTAATAGTAATAGTAAGAGTAATATTAATAGTAATAGTAATAGTAATACTAATAGTAATAGTAAGAGTAATATTAATAGTAATAGTAATAGTAATACTAATAATAATAATAGTAATAGTAGTAGTAATAATAATAATAATAATAATAATAGTAATAATAATAATAATAATAATAATAATAATACTTTAAAAAGTTTGGGAAATTCTACGTGAAAGACGGACTTTTTTCCAACTCTCTTTAGTGGCACCCAAGTCTTGAAAAATCACCCATAGTGCCCATTTTAAGGTTTATGTCTAACTTTTTTAGTTTTTGGTTAACCATAATTAATTTATTTAAAAAATAAAGATTTTTTTTTTTAAAAAAAAAAAAACCACCTGTTAAACCCCACCACCACCACCACTACCACCACGCCGCCGGAACTCTAACCTCATTGCCAACCAAGCCATCCCACTTCCAAACCACCTGCCGACCAGCCAAACCCCATTGCCGACCAACCCAGCCCACCCAAACACTACTGACCAACCTAGCCCAACCAAACACTGTCGACCAGTCCAGCCTAGAACTAGCCAACCTCAAACACCGCAAACGGCGAACCAACTCCCACCAACCTCCCTCACCGGAATTGAGAACGAACTCTTAAAAACCCCAACCTAAACTTGAAACTTAAACTATAACGAATTAAGGGGTGGTTTAAGCCATGGGGTTTCGGGTTTGGGTTAGAGGTTTTAGGTTTGGGGTCACCATGGAAGAAGGGGGGGATATTTTCGATTAGGGGGAAGAGGAGGGTGGTCGAATTTGGGAACAGAAAAGGAGTGGCGGTTGATCGGCCGGCCGACGCAAGGGGGGTGAGGGAGAGGCCTGGGCAGTAGCTGGTTGTCGGGTTAGGGTTCCGGCGACTTGGTGTAGTGGTGGCTGAGAAGTTGGTTGTTGTTATGTTTTTTTTATAAATTTTATTGTTTATAAAATAAATTTTTTAATTAAAAAAATTAAAGGTTAACCATTTTGATCATTAAGGTTAGCCATAAACCTTAAAATGGGCATTATGGATAATTTTTCAAGACTTGGGTGCCACTAAAGAGAGTTGGAAAAAAGTTCGTTTTCCACGTAAAAAAATTTAAACCTAGAGGTCACCATGTAGAATTTCCCAAAAAGTTTCATTGTTTAAATTTTTTTAACACCTCAATATTTATAAAACAAAATAGACTCATCCATATATTAACATTCCTAGTGTGACACTGTTTCTCAAACATGTAGCCCCTCTTTTAATTTATTTTGCCTTCAATGTCCTTTACATCATAATCAATTAATTGCACTTGAAACAAAACCCGAATAACCATATTATTTGAATAAAAGTTTTTTTTTACGGTGAATAAGAGTTTCTTACACCTACATAAAATTTTATAATGTAATGTTTCTTTATTTGCACTTAAATTTGGACTTTGGACTCCAATAATTTGATTTCATATCCGATAAAACAAATTGGATTTTGATTTTTGAGTTCGAGTCCGTTTCAAAAGTCGCAAAAAATTAATCCAGTTCGATAATTTAAAATGAATTGGAGTGAACTTTGGAATTTTCGAATATATACTCGGCTCACTCGTGTGCCTTACTACAATTAATAAAAAAGGAAAAATTGTCAAAAATAATATAAACTTTGAGCGGTTTGCCAAAAACAAGTCAATCTTCTAATTATTTCTGCATAATACAAACTTTAAGGGGTGTCCGCTTTAAACAAGATAATTTACCTACAACTTATATGATCGGTTACTTTTTTAAAAAAAATTAATTTTTTTTAATATAATCCTTTAACAACATACTTTACTTATAATAAAAATTTTAAGAATGATTAGTTTTTCATAGAACTATTAATTAAATATTAAATAAATCCTAACTAAATTTTTATTTTGTTAAAAAGAAAATAAATAATTAAGTCCTATTATGATTATTTTCTTAAAACATCATTTATCATTATTTTTTTTAATAAAAGATTACCACCAACATCGATCCTTCTGACTCCCTCCAACAAATTTGGGGTAGCTTGCGCTAACATATATATGGTTTGGGTCGCGCAGCTTACGGTGGAAGAAGGGGAGGAGGTCGACATTCTGATTAGGGGAGGGGTTCAACATTTCGGTTAGGGGAGTGGAATCGGGGCAAGGGAAGGGGTAGGGCTGGTCGGTCGGCAAGCCGGGGTGAGGGGACGGAGGGAGTCTGGGCGGCGACTGGTGCTAGGGGAGGAGGTGGTGGCTGAGTGAGGCTGTGGTGGCGGGTGAATTTGTTCATTTTCTTTTTTTTTTAAAAAAAAAGGTTTTTTTTTTTCATTTTAATTAATAATAATTATTATTGTAATAATATTTACTTCAAAATAATAATAATAATAATAATAATAATAATAATAATACAAATTTCTAAGACTCAGGATATTGGTACAAATTTAAACAATGAAACTTCTTAAGAATGAAACATTTAAAAAAATATTATTATAATATCGAGGCGTTCACTAAGACTCAGGGTATTGGTGCTCATGTAGCTGCTCACATTTTCAGCAGGATCGGGTTCGCTATACCTAAAGGGGTGGGGGCCCAGATTGTATCTCGGCTCCCCACCAATTTTTTGTAAATTGAATGACTTTTGTAGGGTTTTTGTTAATAGTAATAATAATCTAATATATAAATAAAGTAGGCATTTTTTGAGAGCATTCGGAGTGCCACATAAGAAAATGTATGATTTCGACCAATTAAAAATTAGATTTGGATTTTATTTTAGAATTAAAAAATTCACTCGCCACCTAAGAAAAAGTGACAAATGAGATTTAAGAATTTCGCCATGTAGATAAAACAGCGAATAGATTAAAAAACTAGAACTTATCTTTTTTAAAGAACCAATAATTATCTTTAGATATTAAAATTAATGTTATTTACAAAAATAAAAATAATACAAAATGATTTATTAAAAAAAATCATGCGTCTCACGATATTATTTCGACTAATGACAAAATTAGACTTATATTCGACCAGACAAATTAGACTTATACTTTATTTTAGAATAAAAAACATCAATCGCCACCTAAGGAATATTAACGAATGAAATTTAACAATTCAAATTCAATTTACAAGTAGCTTGAAAAACGACGAATCAATCAAAGATATTTTTTAATATTATGCAAGTATTCTCATGAAAATAGTTTTTAGATAGTATAGTGGTTTAATTAATAATATCTTCTTGGAGAATATGTAGATTATCTATATTGTTAGATTTTTACTCTATTTTTTTTCCATGAAAATAATTTAATTCTTGGATTTTAATCTACATGCCATTCAAATTGGAGATATATCAAATCTAATTTGTCACTTTAATCTAGGTGGCAAGTGAATTTTATAATTCTAAAATAAAATAGAAATTACATTAAAAAGATAAAAATTATATATTTATAATAAAATTTAAATCACATTATTAATAATAAAAAAAATCTTTAGAATTAAAAAATATATCATTTCTCATTATCTTGCGCAAACAAAAAAAATCGTTATCATTTATCATTTATTCGACTAAAAAGATTAAGTAAATTTTATACGTGTCCGAGGTTACTTGAGTTACTCGATCAGGGGTTACTCGATTAGGGGTTACATGAGAGGTTCGGTCAGGGGTTACACGGTTAGGGGTTACTTGAGGGGTTCGGTCAGGGTTTACTCGGTTAGGGGTTACTTGAGGGGTTCGGTCAGGGGTTACTTGAGGGGTTCGATCAGGGGTTACTCAGTCAAGGCTTACTTGAGGAGTTCGGCCAGGGGGTTACTCGAGGGGTTACTCGGTCAGAGGTTACTCGGTCAAGGGTTACTTGAGGGGTTTGGTCAGGATGGGTTACCCGGTCAGGAGTAAGGGCATGTTCACATTTACTGAACTGAGCTGAACTGAACTGAACTGATTGGAGCTGAACTGAACTAAACTGAACTAATTGAAGCTGAACTGAACTGAATTGATTGGATCTGAACGGAAGTGAGCTGAAATGAATATTTTTATGAGAGAAGGAAATTAGGAGCTGAATTGAATTGATTGGAGCTGAACTGAACTACAATTAAGCTGAATTGAACAGGCCCTAACTCGAGTAACCTCAGCCACACAGAAAAATCCCCTATATTACAAAGTTTATCATATTCATGATAAAAGTTTACCATCACCTTAAGTTCAACCTTTTTTCAAGTCTATATAAACTCATCTAACGTCAATCCCACACTATTAAAGTTTCAATAATGAAAGTATTATCTAAAGTGCCTACAACTTTTACATAAAAAAGTTAAAATAAATAAATAAATAGAAAATAAAAACAAGCGATGAACAATGATCATAAATGGAGCCAAAATGTTCATTTTGCAAGGGGCAGAATTAAAGTATGCGATTCAGCGACTTGCATAATTAGCGATCCATAAGATAAACAAATATGCTAGATACATGGAAGATCATTCATTTTTCACCGTGTACACCCTATGAATATTTAATGTTATATTTAGTGATTAATAGAGACATGTGGTTACTTCGTTAGTGTTGACTTTTTTTTGAGGGTTGCTAAACGCAACCTAAGTTTATTTGACGCAACTCATTTTTCCTTATTTTTTCAACCTTAATAGAATTATAAAAATTATCTTTTTCCCCCTCTTTCAACTTGGTAAAACATATTAATAAATTTGAAATTTTTTATCACACGAGTACCAAAATTGATTCAAAATACTGATTAAAGATTGCAATGGAGGACAATTCTCAAAATTGATGTAAGTTTTTCGTTTTTTTCTTATTATTATTATTTTCGAGTACACTTCGTGTGAAACAAGTAAATTTCGACGACATTGGACAATATCAATGCCTATATTTCGCACACATTGAACAAAACAATATACTTTATTTCGTACACATTGAACAAAATTATATACTCTATTAGTCTATTTCATACATATTGAACAAAATAGTATACTTTAATTCGTATATATTGAACAAAATTGTATAGTATATTTCGTACATATTGAACAAAGCAATAAGCTCTATTTCTCACAAATTAAATAAAACACGACCACGATAACCCCGAAGCAACTTGATCGACAAAAGACCACCTGGTGCTGCAGTTGTTCTTCCGCGAGGCCTTTTATTCCATGCTCGTTTTGCCTCTACTTCTTTTGTTTGAGACCCATTAGGTTCTTGTGGAGGACAGCTGCAGCCTGCAGGGTGGTTGCGGGGCAGTCTGCTCATGCCCAAGTGAGCAGCAGGCAGCTTGCGGTGTGGGCTGTTTCCCCCGTCCCCTCCCAAGTGTAGCAACCAATTAACATAACTTTTATGATACACGTGTAGGCGCTGCATGATTTTGTTAGCAAATGGAACAAGAAACATGAAAGACAATTTAGATTAAAGAATTAAACTTATTTTAAGCAGGCTTGAACCAGACGATGAAAATAGATACTAGTTGAGACAAATTAGATCATAGCTTACAAAAAATAAAGGAACATGCTATTAAGAAACAAGCTGCCATTCATCTTACTTATTTTATACCCATTTGGTCTCCTTTCTTTAGAAGATTTAAGAATTTATACTGAAACTATTGTGATCAGATCCTATAGTAATACCCAATACATCTAGTCATAATTCTTTGCTAAATGTATTAAGCAACAAGGAGTATGAGGAATAAATTAACAGTTGGTTATACAGCTCACAAATTAGAATGCAAACTAGTAATTCAGATTCAAATGAAAGAAATAGTGATTTCTTCAGTTATACAAAACAACTAGAACTATTATATCCCAGTTAAACAAAAAAAACTACAACTATTATATCCCAATTATACGGAATAAATTCCTCTATTTTAGCCCATTCATACAAAACAGTCAAATCAATTTCATACCAGTTACACAAAATAGTTGAAATTGCATTAGTCAATTTATCTAATACTACCCAATTCCAATTCAATTTTTTCAATTGAATGAAAATTCGATCTCAACAAAGATTAAACACCCCACAAATAGAATAAAGAGTATATAAAACCCCCAAAATTCATCATAGTCAAGCAACAACAACAAAAAAAAAAAAAAAAAAAAAAAAAACGAAATTACAACCTATATTAATTTGTAAAATGGAGTAACAAAAATATGAGAGATTGTGTAGATTATATTACCCTTACAACAACAGTGAAAAATTTGTAGGGAAGATCAAGCGACAAATTTCGATTGAAGAATGACAACACAAGTTCTCAAATTGATTTTGAGTATTGAATGAATTTTTTGATTGAAAATTTTTGGGTTTTAGGTTGAAAGAAAGGAACAAAAGAAATGATAGAGTTTGACAGGGAGTTTGCGTGTGAGGGTAAATTTGGATTTTTAGGGGGGTGTGTTAAGTAGATTAAGGTTGTATTTAGCAATCATGTTTTTTTTAAATAAAATCTTTATTTTTTCGATTTATCTAAAGGAAACTAGAATAGAAATGAAAATATTATAGTGAACCATAGATCGGAATAAATATAAAAAAATCGTGCATCGCATGGGCTTACATCTAATAATAATAATAATAATAGTAATAATAATAATATAATATATATAAATAAAGTAGGCATTTTTCGAGAGTATTTGGCGTGCTACATAAGAAAAGTATTTTGTCCAATGAAAAATTAGATTAATAATTTATTTTAGAATTAAAAAATTTACTCGCCACCTAAGAAAAAGTGACGAATAAGATTTAAGAATTTTGACACATAGGTAAAAATAACGAATAGAGAATAATTAAAATTTAATTTATTCTAAAAAACCAATAATTAACTTCTTTCTCAAAAAAAAAAAAAAACCACTAAGTAATAATTATCTTTTTTTTTTTACCTATTTGGATGCAAATTTTTGATCGCAAATATCTTTAATCTCCCCTTAGCAAATATTATAAAAGTTTTATTTTAATAATGTAGTCATCGAGACGAATAAAACTATATCTCATATGAATAATTCCCCCATAATTTTTAATAGTTAAACGATTATAAATGAGACTAACATTTTAAACAGAAAGAGTATATTAAATAAACGCATAGGCAAAAGACTTATTTTGATCAATAAAAAAAACGATGTTTTTCACTTCTTTTTGAATTAAAAATTGAAATTGTCACATAAGAAAAAATAGTGAATAAGGTTTGGGATTTATAATTCAAGCATCACATAAAATAAATAAAACAACAAAAGATAACTTTAGTGTTAGAATTTAAAAATTTATCTGATGATATTAGGAATTTTATCCACATATTTAAAGAATGATGTTCAAAAATGTACAAAATTTTAAATTAAATAAATTGATTTACTAGAATCGTGCATCACACAGGCTTACATCTAATAATAATAATAATAATAATAATAATAATAATAATAATAATAATAATAATAATAAAAGGAGTTTTAATAATAATGGTGGTTTTTCTTATAACAATAATTAATATTATTTATATCTTTTAAAAATTATAAGCATTAAATAAATTTTAGAAAAGAAAAGAAATAAATAAATTACCAAATTAATAAAACAATGACATGTGTCATATATAACCTATTAAGCAAGTCACCAACAAGTCATAACTTGTTTACGGACATCCCTTAAAGTTTGTATTTTTAGAAATAATCAGAAAATTAACTTATTTTTGGTAGCCGGTTCAAAATTAGTATTATTTTTTTAACATTTTTCACAATCAATTTTTTTTTTAAAAAAAAGTATTATTTATTTTTTTTTACATCAAAAATATAAAAAAGTATTATCCCTTAAAAAAAAAATATTATTGTCTTTCTCATCATGTTTCATTCCCCTAGTTTTGCCCTATAGTATACGAGTACTACTAATAATATTAATAATACTGTCAACGATTGTCTTTTTCATCATGTTTCTTACCCCTGGTTTTGCCCCTATTGTCTTTCTCATCATGTTTCTGGTTTTCTACCTCCATGGCTATGGAGATTGAAATACCTATACCTTAAAATTTTCATATTTACTTTTACAAATCTATATCTCATCCTTTTTCACAATCTCTGCAATACAAATATTTATTATTTATTTTTTTCTTTTGACAATCTCTAGTTTGCACCTAAGATTAATCTCGGAGAATACTATCATACAAAAACAACATGAGCTTAAATTATAGTACCTCCTATATAAAGAGGAGGAATATACCTAAACCTCAGTGCGTGGGTCTCAAGTTTGCTAGCTTCCATCAATCAGGTACGATCTCGATCTTCTCATTTCAACAACGATACCTTAGGGTTTTGAAATCGATCAAATATCTTCATTTTCCCCCAATTTCGTATGATCTGTTTGATTTTGTTTTTGCGAGTTTGTTCTTCAATTGTATGCGATTCCTTTCATATGAGGCTTGTGCGAATTTAAGTACGATTTGTCCAAATTTTTAGTACAGATATGCTATTTCTTCTGTTATCAATCTTTTCGTGCTATTCGTTGTTGAACTTGCAATGATTTATCAAATTCAACCTCCGATTAAACTTAGGGTTTCTGTTTTGGCACTTTTTGTTGTTGTTATGATTTAGGTGTTTTGTCAATCAGGTAATTGTAGCCATTTGTTCTCAATTCAACAATATCTTAGGGTTTTTGAAATCGATTGAGTATCTTCATTTCCCCCAATTTCGTATGTTCTGTTTGATTTTTTTTGCTTTTCAAGTTTGTTCTTCAATTGTATGCGATTTTCTTTCATCTGAGGTTTGTGTGAATTTAAGTACAAATTGTTCAAATGTTTGGAACAGATGTGCTATTTCTTCTGCTATCAATTATCTGATTCAACCTCCTATTAAACTTAGGGTTTCTGTTTTGGCATATTTTTGTTATGGTTTAGGTGTTTCATATGTTTGAACTTTTGTTCAAATTATGCAAATTTAGTTTCAAGGTTGAAATCCATTTAATATATGGTTGTAACTTGTTTTTGATTGTGATTTTATGATGTAAAAATTAGTGTTTGTTGAAATGTGTGTTAGAGTTTAAACCCGGATAAGGACAACTTGTTTGAATAATCTGAAGTATATTTGCTACATCTTTCATTTTGTTATCAATTTTTTGTGCAATTTCTTTTCTAAGTTGTAATAATTCATTAAAATCAAAATGTGTAGACCATGAAGATCTTTGGTCGTGTGATTGGTGGACTGCGTCAGCTGCGTCGTTCGCCCAAATGGCAAGGGGTATGATTCAACCATTTACAGTGATATCCTCTAGTTATAACTTATAAGATAGTGTTGTTTTGTTTTCTTGCCTGATCAATTTACATTGCCTTCCTTTGCTGCTGAAATTGAATTGAGAACGCTAATTAAATTGGTATGAATATGACATGTACTTAAATTATATTCATTGTTAGTGAAAGTGATGCGTGGCTTTATGCAAATATGCCCATGTACTAGATTAGGATAGTCTGATTAATTCAATAAGGATAAATCCACCATGAATCATTTGAAATAGCTGATCATTGATTTGTTTATAGGACCACTCTCCATCCACAAACCCTAATCAATTAATATTAAGTATACTGAATCGATTTTCACCCAACTTAATTGAGAATGGTTGAGTGTTTTTGGCTACACACAAGCCATTGAATGAATAATGTTTGAGTACAAAACGTAGCTAAATATATTATTACAACCCAAAAGAGAAAACAACTAAAACCTATCTGGGTAAGCAAGCTTGGAGATTATTGATGAAGCCGGGTAGTCTTGTAGAGCAGGTGCCTAAGTCTCGTTACGATCCCAATTCCTCTTTTATGGAGGCTGATTTGGGGGTTAACCCAAGTTATACGTGGAGGGGATTTGCGGAGGCCAGATGGGTGGTTCGACGAGGTGCTAGAAGGAGAGTGGGAAATGTTGAGTCAATTTGTGTGTGGTCTGATCCATGGGTACCTCATACTCAAACACACATGATTCTATCACTTTGAGGGAATGCTGACTGCAATTTGAGGGTGAGTGAGTTGTTGGTGCAGGATGCAGCTTGCTGGGATTTTGCAAAGCTGCAGCAATATTTAATGCCTTTTGAGTGTGATAGTATTAGCAACATTCCACTGAGTTCTTGACTACCAGGTGATCGCATATGATGGGATTTAGAGAGAAATGGTGAGTACTCAGTCAGGTCAGCCTATCGAGCTATGTTTGAAGACGATTGGAAACATGGTGAGAAAGCTGCTTCTTCTGCTCGTTCTATCTGGAATCGCATTTGGCAGTTTGGCACTTACAGGTTCTCCCATGTGTTAAGATCTTTGCGTGGAGGGCCTGTCAGTTTGCGCTCCCACCCATCATAATATTCATTATCGAATCCAAGACTATGATCCTGATTGTTGTATTTGTCAGCGAGATTTTGACTACTCTTCATGCCCTTGAGATTGCAAGCTTGCAAAGGAAATCTGGAACAAAAGTCAATATGCCTATGTTGCTTGTTCTAGAGTGAGTAGTATCATTGATTGGTGGGAGAGTATCTTTGTAGAGTTTGATGATAATGATGATGTTGCTTGCATTATTACCCTTTGTTGGGCCATATGGGGAGCCCGTAACTCTAGGATTATGGAACTTAAATCCAATGAATCTGAGGACACGGTGAAGTATGCTATGAAGATCTGCCAGGAAGTTTGTGAAGAAAGCAGTAGGTTGGAAGTTAAGCCTGGAAGCTGTGTGTAATTATTGGGGAGTTAGGTTCTGGGCTTGGGGCAGTAGTCAGAGATAGCAGTGGGGTGGTGTGTGCGTGTTCTTCTATTCAGGTTCTTGATAAAAATGGTCGACTAAAATTTAGGTTTTTTTTTTTTTTTTTTTTTAATTTTTTTTTCCTTTTTAGAAATTTCAAATTGTAAATTGTAGCCCTTGAAATTATTTATTTATTTTTCTCTTATTTAGTGATTTAATTTTTTTTTTGTTTTGAAATTTTCAGGATGGCTTGAAGAAGAGAGTTCTCACTAGGTGGAGTGTTCCGTGGTCGCTTGACACGACAGTTTGCGGCCTTTGTGGCTTAGAGGCTTGGTATGTTTTATTCCATGTATCAATTTTTTCTTTTTTTCTTTTTTAAAATATTAGTTATAAACTTACTATTGATTAATAAGTTAAATGGTTAATAAGTACAACCCTAACAGATTGTTTGTGGAATTCTGAATTAGCTAGGAATTAATAGTTAATAACTAGTTTTTTTGAATTATGGCCTTATTATGTGAAATTTAATACGAAATATGACGTGTGTACTCCCTCCATTCCATAATCATTTGTGTGTTTACTGTTCTTACGCTTCCCAATGCACATTTTATTTCGCAATATCTATAATTTCATATTTGTAAAAATTATAATAATTGAATATTAATGATTGCTATACTAAGACGAATTAAACGAGACCACACATGAGCACATGACTATATATATTTGTACATATGATAGAAATATAAGAGATTCTCTCAACATGTGAATAGTGAAAAAAACTCAAATGCACAAAAGATTGTGGTACGGAGGAATTAATATAAGTTGCATATTATTTTGTCTAAATAGTTTTTCCCCCATAGTAAAGACACGATTTTACTTTTGAATAATACTTTCTCTTTTAATACAAATTCTTAAAAATCTTACTTAAAGTTGTCACCAACAATACATGGATTTTCATTTTTTAGTTTTTATGTTTAATGAGAATAAATATATATATATAAATAATAATGAATATTTAAATACATTTATACATCTTTTTTACCTAAAAGTATTATATGTAATTAAAATTGCTACTTTAAGTTTTGAAATATTTTAATTCAAAAGGAAAAGGAAATGTTGTTTGAATCTCCGCTATTTCCTACTCATGTAATGACGAATTAGGCACATGATTTAAAATCTTTTTGAATAATTTAATAAGGTGAATGACTCAATGTAAACACAATTATTAGAAATGGACACGTATTTGGGTCGGACCCTACAATGTCCGAATCCGATCCGATTAACAAACGGATCCAATATTTACCTCCGAGTCCGCCTACGAATCCAGATCATAACTCCGAATTCGAATTCAAATCCTGGAAATTTCAAGGCATTTTGGTACTTTTTTCAACATCTTTGAAGGTTTCATTCAACACAAGAAAATGGTGCTTAATTAAACATGAAGAAACATAAAGGTATAAGAAAAACATTGACCGAAATTATTTATAATCGAATTTGTTAAATTTAAAACAAATATATAACATATATAATCAAACCTTCAAAATTCAGATCTGAAATTTGAGTTCAAACTATTTACATAAAAATCTAGATCGAGACTTAATGAGATGTGTAAGCGTTGATATTTGAGTATTATCTTTGGCGTGGCAAAAACTTCATAAATTGATTTTTATGGTATTCGTTTATGACCTTGATGTAGTTTAGTCATGAGTAATGAGGGAAGTTATCATGAGTATTGAGTAATGAGGGTATGTTTTCAATGAAAATTAAAGAAAGATAAAGGCATGGGTAAGAGCCAGAGAGAGGAAATGACGCGTCTCCGCAGTGGGTGTTTTCGAGCAGTGAAGCTTACAAGGAGGAATGAGGCGGCTGTTAGAGCTTTAAGGTTTCCACTTGGGCTTTTATAGTTAGCATATCTCTACAGCCCATATACATAAAGTAACCGGAATCAGACTCTTCACGGATCAGACTCTTCGCAGGGGTCCAAATCCAATCCGAATCCTATTAGGACTTAGACTTTTTTTCGGATTCCAATTCGGTTTTTTTCTATTTCGGATTCGGATCGAACTTTTTCCTTCGGATCAAATCGGACTCGAATCGAACCTGGATTAAATTGCCATCCCTAACGGTTATATATTTGATCACTAGCACTTCTTGACAACTCTTTAATTCGGCCTAAGTCCTTGATTTGCTTGATCTTTGGTGTGTTGATTTTTTTTGTGTCTATTCAATTTGCAAAAGGGTTCACAAAAACGTACTATCTCCCTTGATGTCAATCATGTTATTTCATATACTTCCACCGTTTTTTATTAGATGATATATTTTTATTTTATGAACTTTGGTGGATGAGAGAGAAAAATTATAGGACCCATGTGATATGAGAGAGATAGAGTGAAAAAATTGCCCAAAAAAATAGTATATCATCTAATATTAAACTTCCTTAAATGGATTGAGTATCATCTAATAAAAATAGAGGAAGTATGTGAGTTTATCTAGATATATTTGAGCCAAGTAAACCTAACAATCGGAACATTATAAGGAATTATCGTGCTTTTATCTCATTGAAAAACTAAAAAGTTTGGCGAAGTATCTTTAGTGCCAAAACATTATTGTTATGATCGTGTGTTTTTCTTATAGTTGTAATTTAAGGGGCTGTTTGATTGGAGATAAAGAAAGAAATGGAATGAAGAAAGAGAATGGAAAGGAAAGATAAGAAAAACCCTCCAATTCCTCAAATTTGTTTGATTAATCAAAACAAAGGGTTTCAGTGTTTGTAAAAGCGCGCCGAGGCGCAAGGCGTTAGAGGTCATACGCTTTTTATGTTCTAGGCGAGGCGACTTCAACGAGGCGCACAAAGAGTTTTTTCAGAATTTTTTTATTGCTTATTATAAGCGCCTCATTTCAATGAAGCGCATTGAGGCGTGCCTTAGGCGCAAGTACTCCGAAACGCCTTGGTGCGTCTTAAGCCTTTTTATACATAGTTCTAGACTCTTCAACTATGTTTGTTGCAAATCTAGTAGATTCACTCATTTTCTTTAATCTTCACATTACATCAACCTCAAACCCATTATTTAAACCTCCACTTTTTCCATACTTCATATATCTTCCGCCTAGCTGCCCTGTCTTAGCTAGCCAACTCTCAATGATAGAAATAGACCATCAAAGAGACCCATCCACCACGACCCATTCACTAGGAAAGTGCGTCTGCCGTCTAAAGCACATCTTACCCAACTTTTGCAAGATTTTTTCGTCATTATATGGTTCTTAAAGTATTAGATCTAAAGCTTTCATGGTCAAATTAAACCATAAAAAGCCATTATTGATGTTAGAGACTTGTGTTCTCTTTCAGTTTTATGTTGGTATGGTGGTTTTTGAGAAGTATGGTGCTTTTGGGTTTTGTGGTTGATTGCGGTAACGACGGTGATTGTGTTAAGGTTGTGGATGGTTACAAGGCATTACATGCAAGTGTTAAGTATGCTATGGGATTTGTGGGATGTATTTTTTTAGGTTTGTAGTGGTGGCAGCGGCAGCATTGGTGATAATGGCGGTAGTGGTAGTTGTTAAAATGATGGTGTATGTAGTGGCAGTTAGAGTTGTAAGTGTTGGTGGAAACTGAAAAGTTGGTGGATGTATAGGGATTAGGGATTTGGGGGGTGGGAGGGAATTAGAATAGAGTGAAATGGGGGAACTTAAAACTGATTTATGGGGTAAGGGATTTTCTGAAAGCACTTACCAAATGTATTCTAAGTTTCTAACGGAATCATGATTCTTGATTACCTTTCCCTTTCTTCATTACCCTATACCAAACAACCCCCAAAGGTAATCTTAGGGCTTGTTTGGCATCGTTTTCTGTTTTGTGTTTTTTTTTTTAAACAAAAAACCAAGAACAGGAAACAAGAAAAAGGTGTTTCCACTTTTCTGTTGTCAGTTTTTAATATTATCATGATTTTAATAAGTTTGACTAATTTTTGTTTCATTATATGACTTATATCATATGAGTTTGAAAACCAAAAAAACCAGAAAACAGAAAACGACAGCAATGCTAAACGAACCCTTAGTTAGTTTTCTCAATTTCTTCCAACTTTCCCAATCTATTGCATAAATACCACCGCATTACTCAAGGACTCAACAATTACTCAATTCACTTAATGCTGCTTCTATCTTCATATTTTCTATAAATTCATCAATGAAGGTGAAATACAAGCCAATTAAATTTTTTGAATGCAAGGGCAACACATAAAACCAGCGTTTGTATCCACAATAAGAAGTATAAGAGAAAATATAATTATGAAATTTTGAAAAAGTGAAGGATAAAACCCCACATTGATTATTTGGAAGTATGGTAACACAACTATGTTAAATAAAATAAGCTGGAAATTAAATATATCTTGCTTATGAGAATCACTAATGTGTAAACATCATTGTTTATTAAACAACTAAGTAATTAAGTCATTGTACTAATTATTAGACTATTAGTTATGTTGTTATTCCTTTAGCTTTGCTATTACTCTTTTAATTACTCTTTTTGTTTTCTTTCATTGATTGACCTTTTTCACATATTCTCCCTCGATATTACCATGCGGTCAATGAAAAACTAACAATAAAATCGTAATAAGATATGATGAGCCAAAGAAATTAACTGACAAAGACTATGACAAACGTTTGACTTTTTTTAGAACTTAGCTATAACTATCATAAAGAAATTTCTAAGAATCAAACTCGAACATTTCGAAAGTAAAATAGAACTAAGTTATACTTCGATACTTTGTATTATGCAATTAAACTACTAACTCAAAAATTTACTTTCTCGATCCATTATCTCTTTAGTCTCCATTATTCCTAATCAATCTCGATTTCCTTCTATGACTTATGGGACTAAGGCTTTAATTGATTGATTAATTTGATTAAATCTCGAGTTCCTTCTCATATTAGATTTTTCTATATTTAGTGGTAGCGTATTACACTTAACTAATATAATTGCTTAACGATCTTATATCATAGGATTTGAAAAATCAAATATTAAGGAACTATATATTTTGGCCAGAATCTATACCTAGTTTAAGAAGTGATCAACTCGTTAGCTTAATATCTAGTGCAATAAAAAGGAAGGAATATGAACTATATATCAATGAATTTAGAGGAAGTTATCTCTAATGGCAATTTGAAGGTCACATGCTTTATCATAAAAATAGCAAAAAAAATTGACTGTTTTAGTTGAAAGGAAGAAGAGAAACTTGAATCAAAGCCTTCTCCCTAGCAAGTCCTATAACTTTAGAAATTAATTAGATCTAAGAATAATATTATAATAATAAATTTTCAAAAAAAATAAATAAATAACATTATAAGTTAACTAATCAATTCATTGAACATATAGCGTGCAATAACCGTCCACAAAATCAGAAACATAAATGTGTTGCGAGAAACATAAAGCCTAAAAACGGAAGTGAATATTACTTTGTAATTGATTTCAGTATCACCCAATTGAAACCTATCAACAATTGTAAGGGAAAAATCTAACAATCACAAAACTAAAGATTTAACATGATGAAAAGGTAAAAAAAAAAAAAAAAAAAAAAGTCAAAACCCTAATAGCCGAATAATGCTAATTTATCAGCGTTGAATAAAATCCCTCTCGCCTCTATAGCCATTGATATAAAATGGGGAGGAGAAGCGATAACTTGTTTACTTTGTGAACATCTATGAATCACCATCTTTCAAGTTTCTTTATTAGATTATAAAATGCTATTAAACCAGCAAAATCAAATGGTGTGTTGCATGTAGTGCAACCATATATATATTTATATATATGCTAGGAAAATGGATGGGTGCATATAAAGAGTTAGGAGGCAATAAAGGGTGAAGAAAGGCTATAGACAAGCTCGGGTTAGATAATCAAGAAGGCATAGGAATGGAATATACATTGAGTTAAGCACACGTAGGATTTAAAGAAGTGATATGAGGATATGTGACATGTGGCATTTAGGGTTATTGGTTTTATATACTAGGTATGAAGGTATGGATCCGCTACACATTTGGTTGTATCACAATTATCATATGCTAGTGCTAATTTCTTCCTAAACATTGTCTTTTAAGCTAATCCTATTTTCCTCCTAAACAAAGCTAATCCTAACTTTTAATCCCTCACCTAATTGAATTAATCTACTAATGTCCAGCCTAATTTCACTTGGTTTTATTAGTAACAATACGTAAGATAAAAAATAACAATAATATAATAATCATACCCTTAAAAAAAATTAAACAAACTAATTTTATTGAAATTTTGCTTATTTTAACTTATTAATACCCTTGTTTGATGTTTAGCTCTGCCGCGACTAATGCGCTTTCAAGTGGTATTCCAGTTCTGTTGTTTCTTCTGACCCGGGAGTGCTCTATGGACTTCACTTGCTCTCTTACTGGTAATTTATTTTATTTTGGATATCTGAATAACAATATCATTTATCTTTTTTCAAGTATATATATATATGCTAACACTTTTTTTTTTTTTTACAAATGTCACAGTGTTTCCAGTGGAATGAAGTTGGGTGGTCTGTATGGTTTGTGTCACATCTACAGACCACCACCCGACATGTTCTACTGGCAGTTCAGCCGTACTAGTTTTTCTTATGGACTAGTTGGCTTGAGCTTGTTCGGGGGTGCAGCATTCATGTTTTCCTCTCATTTGACAAGTTTTGAGGTGAGTTAATTTTTAAATAGTGCGTTGAATTTATACTCCGTAAATATTTTGGGAATTTTTATAGCCTACTAATCAACGTTTTTGAAGTTTAAATATCCATTTGGTACCCCTAATATATAAAGTTAATTCGTAACTACAAAAAGCTTACTGCCTGTAGGTTTTTGCTAGATGTGATTATGAAATTGCAACTTGACCCCCACTTAATATCATCAAACTTATCTAGTTTAGCTTTTCATTTGAAAAAAATAAAAATATCAAACTTAATTATTTTATATTATTAAGTGGGGGAAAATCTTTAAATTTATCATTAAATCTGGGGAAAACTGCATCTTACTACCTGAATGATGGCCCTATTTTTAAATTACCACTTGAAATTTTTTTCTTTAATTACCACCTGAAATTTTTTTCTTTAATTACCACCCACCTTATGCAAAACTATAGAAATTCCCACCCTAACGGATCATGTCAAGTTTACTGTTAGTGGAGCCCACAAATGAACTAATTAATTGCAATTAATCCCAAAATCACGAGTATTCACCCCCAAACCACGATTAACCCAAAAATTGAAAAAATTCAAGCCCTTAAACCTAAATCCATTGCAATTCTAGGCTTATAGGATCCAATTTCAGTGTTTATGGGTTGAATTTTGGGATTTTGGAGTTGAAGTCGAATATTGGTTTGAGGGTTCGAAATTTAGGGTATTGGAGTCTTATTTGGTGTTTTGAAGTAAATCAGGGTTTGGGCCCGAATTATGGAATGTAAGGGTCGAATTTTTTGGAATAATAAGTTGAATTTTAGTGTTTTGGAGTAGAATTTTAGGTATTTGGTGTTGAAATTTGGGGTTTTGGGTCAACTTTTAGAGTTTAAGGGGTTAAATTTGAGGTTTGTGGTAGATCAAATTTTAGGGTTTATGGGGTTGGATTTGGGGTTTATGGCTGCAATATTAGGGTTTAAGGATTAATAATCTTGACTTGGGAATTGGTTGTGTTAACGGTTAATTTGACTTGACAGATTGCGGTACTCGGGTGGGAGTTTCTAAGTTTTGCATAAGGCTTAAATCTAATGGAAAGTTTACAACAATTTGCTTTTGTTCAGATTATTTTTTCGTATTCAATGTGGGGTTGTAGTGGTTGTTATAGCGAGGTTTGAAGGGACTTGGGTATCTTAAAGTGGTGGTTTTCAGCATTGATGGTAGTGGTACTTGATGTTTTAGTGGGGGAAAGAGGTTGAAAAGGAAAAGGTAGATTAGAATTAATTAAATTATTGAAATAACCTATTCATCATGGTATCATTCATGACTTCTTAAAAACAAATAGGTATTTAAGTTTACTGTTAGTTTAGCCCACAAATGAACTAATTGATTGGAATTAACCCCAAAATCACGAGTCTGCACCCCCAAACCACGATTAACCCCAAAATCACGAGTCTACACCCCCAAACCACGATTAACCCCAAGATTGAAAAATTTACCCCTTGAACCCAAAATTATTGGAATTCTAGGCTTAAAAGATCGAGTTTCGGTGTTTATGGGTTTAATTTTGTGGTTTTGGAGTCAAATTTTGAGGTTTATTGGTCGAATTTTGGGTTTAGGGTTAAAAAATATAGGGTTTTGGAGTCTAATTTTGGTGTTTTGAAGTTGAATATCGTGGTTTTGGGGCGAATGAAGGGATGTAAGTTTCGGATGTTCTGATTTATGAGTTGAACTTTTATGTTTTGGAGTAGAATTTTAGGGTTTTGATGTCGGAATATGGGATTTTGGGGTCAAATTTTAGAGATGAAGGGGTCCAATTTGATGTTTATGGGTAGAATTTTAGGGTCAAATATTAGGGTTTATGGGGTTGAATTTGGGGTTTATGGCTCCAATATTAGGGTTTATGTATTAATAATCTTGATTTAGGAAGGTTAATGGTTTATGTGACAAATTTTGTTATTGTGTTGGAGTTTCTATAGTTTTGCATAAGGTGGGTGGTAATTAAAAAAAAAAGAAAAAAAGATTCAGTTGTAATTAAAAGGCCATCTTTCAGGTGGTAAGATGCGATTTAGCCTTAAATCTAATGGATAGTTTACATGTTCAGATTCAGTTCTTAGTTTCAGGAGCGACACATTAATATTAAGACTTTTCGAGGCATTAAAGTGAATTTCCAAAGACCACAAGAATACCCCATGAACATTTCCTTATATTTCTTAGGATAAATTATTACATAAGTCTTACCATTTAAACTATTTTTAATAAGTCATTACCAATTCAATGTGACGCATGTGATTCTCTTGTTGTTTATTATTTATGTATTTACTCCCTCTGTCCCATTATATAGTTTCTGTTTTCCTATTTTGGAGACCCAAAATGTCGTTCCTATTTCTAATTTTTGGATAGAAATTAAAGACTATTATACCATCACATTTTTAACTTTATTCATTGTACTTCCTAAATTACCCTTGAATTTTACACATGCTTCGGTACTTTTTTCCACTTTCTCTCTCTAACTTTTGCCAATAGTTGTACTTTTCACTTTTATTAATGTACTTTATCCACTTTTTCCTCCTATTTCTTAAATACCATGAATAAACACAAACAAGAACTATATTATGGGACGAAGGGACAAGGGAGTAGATGTTATAATTTCTAGAAAAAAGTGTTATATAATTAAAAGAATAACTTATTGCTGGCAAATTATTTAAGGTTGAATATTTTTAACCATTTTCATATATTTATATATTATTCATTTACTTATATTTCAGGAATATGCTGAGAATGACAGCGTTAAACTGAGGATGTTGCCGTATTGCACCAATTTAGCTGCCGGTTTTACATTCATCAAAGTCAATGTAGCTGCTGTTGTCGAAGAAGTAGTGTACAGAGGCTTTTTGCTTACTTCGCTGACGAAATGGTTAGCGTTATTAAATTTTCTCTATTTTTTTGTATTATAAGTTTACAAAATTAGGTTTTTATTGTTATTAACTTTGCACCAAAAACTTGTGTGAATGAGCCCATTTTAGTTGTTTTTTTTCAACTTATTTTTTTTTATTTGGTTTATTTACGAGTGTTAATACTTTTTTTTGACCTATTTATATTAATATTATACTTTTATTAATATTTATTTGAACTTATTTGATCCTTTTTTTTTTGTTGAAAATTAGTTTTGATATATTAAACAAAACAAATTAATTGTCAAATATGTTGATATATGCAACGGACTACGTACTCTAGTAGGTGTTTCAGATAAGAAAGTAGAAGAAAGTTAAGGAAGAAGATGGTTGATTGTGAATTGAAATAGCCAAAAGGCTTTAGAGTTTACAACTAAGCTACTATGGCTAACGCTGACGATCTGTAACTTAAGAAACACAAACTCACCCACGTGGAATTCTTCATCCCTTCGCTCATCCAACATTAAATCGCGCTCTTGTAACAATTCATCCAGGGACTCAACATGTGTGCAGCTCGTGTCCGCCTTAATTAATTTAGGTGGATCTCTACCATATAAAACCCGAAACAATGACATTTGAGTTGACATTAGGACTTTGCTCCGACAGATGTCACAAGCCTTGACATAATCCACCGCATCGCGTCTCATTCCCTGCCAAAACCACTCCCCTACCATACGCAAATAAGTTTTAGTCTCCCCTGCATGCCCCCCTTAAATTGAATGATACGCCTTTAACAAGGTGGTTTGATACTTGAGTTTTTTGGTATCACCACCCTCCATTTGTATAGCAGCCTCCCTCCTTCAAGAGACAAGAGTATACCCCTCCATTCCCCTTTCCTCCAATACCGCTTCTTTCACCGATTTGCAATTACGGCTTCAAGGGAGTCCCAATTTACTCCTTGCGTGCTCACTAAAGCATTGAGGTGCAATTCACCTTCCCCACGTCTTGAGAGGGCATCAGCGACCCGATTTGCAAATCCGGGTTTGTATTGCAAATCAAAATTGAATCCATTTAATTTTTGGATCCATTTTTGATACTCTCTCCCCACCTCACGCTGTTGAGTAATATGTCGCACTTAGCACCATAAACCTCCTTCCAACAAATAATGCTTCCATGTTTGTATCGATAAGCCACCACCATTAATTCCTTCTTGTAAACTGATTTTTCCGCGGCCGCCCAACCCTAAAACCTTGTTGAAAATGGATTGGCCAACCTTCTTGCATTAGAATAGCGCCAAACCCATACCCCGATGCGTCGGTGGAAGACGATGAACTCCTTGTGCAAATCGGGCATCACCAACAGGGGTGGTTGTCATCTTCTTAAGGCTTGGGTTGCCTCCACCGACCACTTAAAATTATCTTTTTTAAGTTGGTTAGTGAGGGGATGAGAAATATGGGCATAATGAGATATATACTTCTTGTAATAGCCCGTTAGGCCCAAGAAGCCTCTAAGCTCTCTTAATGTTTTTGGAACGGGCCAAGTTAACATAGATTTCATCTTGTCCTGATCCACAACAACTCCATGTTCTGAAATTATATGGCCTAGGTATGCCACTTCTTGTTTACCAAATTCACATTTCTTTCTATTGGTAAATAATTGGTGTTCCTTCAACGTAGCTAAGACAATTTGCAAATGTTTTACATGCTCATCTTTACTACTACTATATACAAGAATGTCATAAAAAATACAAGTACGAATTTACGAAGATAAGGTCGAAATACCTTATTCATAAGAGATTGGAAGGTTACCGAAGCACTAGTAAGCCCAAAAGGCATAACTAAAAATTCACAATGACCTATGACCTTTATGAGTTCAGAACGCCGTTTTGTGAGTGTCTTCAGGTTTCACCAAGATTTGATGATAACCGGCCTTGAGATCAAACTTAGAGAAGACTTGTGAACCATGTAACTTATCAAGTAATTCATCTAAGTAATTCATCTATGACCTGAATCGGGTATATGTCCGTAAGGCTCTATAGTCCACACAAAACCTCCAAGACCCATCTTTCTTCTTGATTAAGAGAACCTGACTAGTTGAGGGCTTAATTATTCCAGCGACCATCATTTCACCAATAAGCTTCTCTATCTCATTTATTTTCAATTTGAGGATATTGATATGGCCTAACACTAACCGAATTGCTCCTCTCTTTGAGGACAATAGCATGGTCTCGGACTCGGCTTGGAGGTAGTCCTTTGGAACTCTTAAAGACCACCGAAAATTTATTAATTTCGGCCCTCAAAATTTATGGAATTTCTTCACCACCATCACTTTCTACTTCCTCCATTCGGTTGAACTTTACTAGAAAACCCCCTCTCTTTGCGCAATGATTTAATCATTGCCTTAAGTGTAATGCCAGTTTGAGCTAGTGAAGGGTCGCCCCTAATGTGAGTAGTTTGTCCGTTCATCGTGAAGCTCATCTATTGAGTCTTCCAATGTGCTCTGAGTTTCTCAAGCAATTGAACCCATGAATAATATCGGAGTTCAGTTGAAGGGGAAGGAAATCCTCTTCCGCCACTACTCTATTTCCTTACTCAAGACGCACCCCCGAACATAGTCCTTGTCCTCTCATGGCTTCCCCATTTCCTAAGGAGACTTTAAAGGTTCTACTTCTAACCACTAGTATTCCCAATCGTTCAACCGTATGCAAGGATATGAAGTTATGAGTAGCTCATGGGTCGATCATTACCACCACCTCTTGACCATTCATTGTCCCGATTAGCTTCATAGTCTTAGGGTTGGTAATACTAACCAATTTTGAAATTACAGCGGGTAACTCCTCTTCGTCCTTCGAAGGTCATTCTATGGCAGTGAACTCATGCTCTTCTCCTTCACTTAACTCTTCCTCCACTAGTAGTACACTAAACTCCTTCGCTGGGCACGCATGATTAAAATCCGACTTTCCATCACCCTTGAAACACAACCCCTTAGCCTTCTTATCTTAAATTTCCCTCTCTGTCAATCTCCTCACACCACCGTTGAAACGAGAGTAGTTTGGGGTGAATTTACGTTGCGAAGCTCCAGTTGATCCGAGGCCTTGCTAATCCATTTGAGCTTTGATCCAGCTTTGATTGTTGATTTGGTCGTTGATAAAATTGAGTGATCTAATTGAGCTTCCAGCTCCTGTTTCTAGTTGCTGGAAGGTAGCACCTCCCCCTAACAATGTGTTTGCTGGACTTTTGTTAAAGTAAGAATATGGGCTATAGGTTTAGTAAACGCCCCACTCGACTTCTTTAGCCCATGGATCCGATTCCTTTCCTCAACTCGGGTTTCCAGGTCCATTGCCTGCTCCAACGTGAACGGGTCCAACATTCGGATCTTGGCCCTTATATCCTCCTTCAAACCGTTCACAAATGGACCCTTCATCAGACTTTCCGGCAAATCAGTGAGCGGCGACGCCTTGTGAATAAACTCCCTCCAATACTCGGCCACCGTGGTGGTGTGCGTTACGGCCAGCCACTGCTCGTGAAGCGTATTGGCGTTAGTGAGTCGGAATTTCATGAGGTTGGCGTTAGTGAGCCGGAATTTAATGAGGGTCCGTTGCTTCAAGTGCTCCCACCCACGTAACGGGCGTCGCCGACTTTCCCATTGTAGTGCGGGCGTCGCCGACTTTCCCACTGGTACCCAGCTCGCCGCCCTAGCCAAATGGCCTAATAGGAGCGCCACCCGAGCCGAACCGTTGCTCTGCCTCATCCTCCACCATGATAGGTTGTTCTTGCCTATCCTTCAACAATGTCATCACTCCTCGAATTTTTTGCTCCTTACCAAGGCATCTTGTTGGTTGTGGTCATCCCGGAAACAGTTGAGTCGTTGTGCCGCCTGCCGCGGCCTCTTGCTGCTAGCTTCCATACTCTTAGTTTTGTACATAATGGCCTGGATAGAGTTCTCTCCTCCATCCATCTTTGACACTACCTCTATTAAGTGCCCTTCGAAAGCGAAAAGCCTCAATTTGTTGTGTGTTTGTTCCAACCGCCAGAGTCGTGCATACTCTTATACCAAATGCAACGAATTGCGTGCTCGAGTTGGTGTTTTAGATAAGAAAGTAGAAGAAAGGTAAGGAAGAAGATGGTTGATTGTGAATTGAAATAGCTAAAAGGCTTTAGAGTTTACAACTAAGCTACTATGACTAAACTATAACATCTTTATGACTAAACTATAACATCTTTTTGAATGAATGTTTCCCTCCTTACTTCTTGCTATTTAACTTACTACAACACTACACATGTGACTAAGCTTTAATTTCAATAACAACTTTTGTCTTCTTCCATTAGAGAGTCACCGAAAAGTAACTCTGTTTTGATTTAGTTGTCTTATGCGTGTTGTTGTGGGTTGCTTGTTTCCTTTTGTTGCTGCTTTCTTTTGTTGTAAGTGTACACAATGGGTGGTGTGGGTTGGTGTATTACAATATAGTTATTTTTAATGATTACTTTAATTTTTAAGTTTACTATTAGTTTTTTATTAACTAAAATTTATTGTTGTTTCTTTATCTATAGGGTAGCTACACCCACAGCTCTTCTTCTTTCTTCCGCGGCTTTCGGATTGTCACATGTTGGAGCTTTTGGCTTCAACTTCAGTTTTTTTTCCCAGCACTTTTTCTTTGGTATATTTCTTAATCAGAAGTTTGATTATTATTACTCCAATATATTTTTGTGCATTTTTTTAATGATTAAATAATTTTGATTTTTAGGTCTGTTTTCAGGAGTTGTTTTCCTGTATTCGAGGAATCTCTGTGCACCAATTGTGGTGCATAGTGTTTACAATTCAGCAATGTTTCTATATTATCTGGTAATCATTTTGTAGACTTTCTTCCTTAGTTTCTTTATTTCTAGTTTTTGTTAATGATAATTTAATTTTTTTTTTCCTTTTCTTGATTGCAGTTGGAATTCAAACGAGTATGCCTATATGGTTTTGATGAGTTTGATGAGCAGGTTAGTTGCGAGTTTTAAATAAGCTGGTACCCTTTTTTTTTGTTTATTACTCAAATTAGTAGTTTAAAGAAATGATAATTTTAGTAGTTGTATTTGTTGGAAAAAATCGGTAAAGCTAAGAGAATCTTATGTAAAAGACTAAAAACTAAGCACTAACTTCCTATTTGTGATTCAACTTTGAATGATTTAGAAAGATGAAGGTCAAATGGCTGAACCAAATTAGAATTTTCAGTTATCATTAACACTAAAAATAAAGTTAATACATAAGATTTCTTCGACATGTATTGCTGCATGTTGTTCTTTTAGCGTGTTGTTTTATTGGAGTCATTCAAGAGATCAGCCACACTAGTTGTGCATTTCACATATGCTTGGAGAAGGCCCACACAGTAGTCAGATGGAGAAATAGGAGCTGGACAATGAGCTGGATAGTCAGTTACAGGGAGGGGGTATTCTTGGTAATCTGGGAAATAGTTTGTTAGTCCTTGTTTTGTGTGCTGAGCTTGTTATTTCGGCTTGTTAGTTATTTTTGAGTATTATGGGAGGTTTGTGAAGGGGGAATGTATCTAGAGAATTGTTGTGGATTTCATTCCTTGGGAGAGCATCCTTTCCTCTCGAAAGAAGGGAGTTGTATTGAGGTTTCTTTGACTTGCAATACAATCTATCTTATTTTGGATGTTATCTCACTATGTTTTTCAGTACTAATCTCTAGCAAATTGGTATAGTGAGGATGGCCCACTTGAATCTTGGTCAGTGTTTAGACTTGTTGGAGCAGGAGATCGCTGGCCTGCCGTCGCGCATGGCTTAGGAGATCACCACATTAATGTCTCACTGCTGACACAAAGTCGGTAGGATAATCCGTTTGCCTCGCAACCCCAACTGGAGTTCGGCAATGGTGGATTTGAGGGCGGTCAATTAGATTGGAAGCTGTGCAAGCTTGACTTGTCGCTTTTCGATGGAATCGACCCTGATGGGTTTCGGGCGGTGAGATTTTTCCACTTCTATCGGTTTATTGATGAGGACAAGCTCGAGGCGGCGTTGGTTGCGCTGAGGGTGATGCTCTGTTATGGTATCAATGGGAGCACAGGCGGCAACCCTTGCAAACTTGTGAGGCGATGAAGAACCTCCTTCGCCGCTTCCGAACCACCACGACAGGTACCTTGCATGAACAGTGGCTTAGCCACCAGCGCACCGGTACGGTGGCGGAGTATAACGCCGTTTCATCGAGCTTATAGCTCCTGTTGAAGGAGTTCCTGTGGAGATTGCGAAAGGGCAGTTTATAAAGGGGCTAAAAGAGGAAATCCGGGTTGAGGTTCGACTTCTAGACCCGACTACTCTGGACGGGCTATGGAGCTAGCTTTTCGGGTTGAGGAGAAATTGAGGCTTAGCCCACGACCCAAACCCGTTAGCAACTTGCCTAGTTGGCGAAATCCAACCCCAAATCTGCGCCCTAACCAAAATCCCATACCACAACCCACTACAACCCAAAACACGAAACCAACCCTCTACCCTACAAATCGCGCCACCCCTTTCAACCACAAACCCACCGACGACATGAGACGGTTGTCGGAGAGAGAGCTACAGAAGAACCGGGAACATGGCCTTTATTTCCGTTGTGACGAAAAGTGGAGCCTCGAACACCGCTGTCAACGCCGGGGACTGAGTGTCCTTTTGACGGTGGATGGCGAGGAGGAGGGAGATAGCTCCGGTGAGTTTTCGGCAGTCGAAACCCTTTTCGCTCCTTCAGCCCCACCTGATCTTCCATTTGAACCCTCCCCTGCGGTTTCACTTAACTCTGTTATGGGTTTGACCAGCCCTAAGACAATGCGGTTGCCGGGGTCGATCGAGGGCGAGGATGTGGTGATTATGGTCGATCCTGAGCAACGCATAATTTTATTTCAACCTTAGCCACGCAACAACTCCTGATTCCGGTGACGGTGGTGAAGAATTTTGGGGTAACATTGGGCACGGGGGAGGCTGTGCAGGGAAAGGGCGTTTGTAAAGGTGTCGTGGTGGATGTTCAGGGAGTCACCATAGTTGAAGACTTTTTGGTTCTTCCACTAGGAAATTCTGACTTGATTTTGGGTATCCAGTGGCTGGAGAAGTTGGGTACGACCACTTCCGATTGGAAGACTCAAACCCAAGTTTCAGGTGGGAGGTGAATCGGTGACTCTGAAGGGTGATCCTCAATTGGGCAGAACTGGAATTTCACTGAAGGCCATGTTTAAGTCACTACAGAAAGAAGGGCAAGGATTCTTACTGGAATTTAATCAGATGGAAAGGGTGGTGAATGAAACCCCAGTAGTGCCCAGGAGGTTTTCAGGCTGTAATTTAAGAATTTCAGCAAGTGTTTAACATGCCAGAGGGATTACCTCCAAGGAGGCAGATTGAACATTCCATTGTTCTGAAAAGTGGGGCAGATCCTATCAGTGTACGGCCGTATCGCTACCCACCAGAAAGACGAGATCAAGAAGCTGGTCACTGATATGTTGTGGGCAGGTATCATACAATCCTCTACTAGTGCATATTGTAGTCCTGTTCTGCTAGTTAAGAAGAAAGATGGTAGTTGGCGTTTTTGTGTGGATTATAGGGCATTAAATAAGGACGGACGGTTCCGGATAAATTTCCTATACCTCGTTTCTATGGACCCTACCCTGTCCTAGAACGTGTTGGGAAGGTGGCTTACAGGCTGCAGCTCCCTCCCTCGGCTAAAATACATCCTGTATTTCACATTTCTCAGCTTAAAAAAGCTGTGGGGCCAGGGAAAATGCCTACCCAACTGCCTGCCCAGCTCTCAGCTGACCTTGTCATGGAGGTGGAGCCGGTCAGTGCTTGGTGTGAGAAAGTCACAGGCAGCCACTGAGGTATTGATTAAATGGACAGGGCTACAGGACTTTGAAGCCACTTGGGAGAACTATGAAGAGATGGCAGCTCGGTTCCCTCACTTCCACCTTGAGGACTAGGTGCTTTTTTGGGTGGGAGGTATTGCAAGAGATCAGCCCAGACCAGTTGTGCATTTCACATATGCTCGGAGAAGGCCCAAACGGTAGTCAGATGGAGAAATAGGAGCTGGACAGTGAGCTGGACAGTTAGTTACAGGGAGGGGGTATTCTTGGTAATCTGGGAAATAGTTTGTTAGTCCTTGTTTTGTGTGCTGAGTTTGTTATTTCTGCTTGTTAGTTATTTTTGAGTATTTAAGGGAGGTTTGTGAAGGGGGAAATGTATCTAGAGAATTATTGTGGATTTCATTCCTTGGGAGGGCATCCTTTCCTCTCAAAAGAAGGGAGTTGTATTGAGGTTTCTCTGACTTGCAATACAATCTATCTTATTTTGGCTGTTATCTCTCTTCTCTGCTAGAATCACTCTGTTTTTCTGTACTAATCTCTAGCAAGTCAATGATTTTGTTTTAACTCATTCTTCACAGGATTTGATAAGACTGTTTAGTAGCAAAAGTGTCACTTCTTCTGCACCTAAACCTTCTTCTTCCAAGATAAAGGGAAAAAAACCTTTGGAAGCCCCTGAAAGAAGACCTGAAAAAGATGCTAAAGATGATGTTGGTGATGATGATTCCTCTTCTGCCAAAACTACTATCGTTATTGAACATTGGTATAATGAAGTTTTACTCTTTCGTTTTAATTTCATGATTTAGGATTTTATGGGTTTTTTTTTTATTTTTCTGAGTGTGTGTCTTGTTAATGTGGCTGAATTTGTTTTACATTTTAGTGGGTATGATTGTTGAATGTATGGTGTTTTACTTCTTTCTTTTATTGCTGATAATATTATTTTGATTAATGCTATTTTTTGTTGTTGAATATGAATACTGTTTTTGGATTTTATGTGTTTCTTATGATGTTTAGCTGCTGATAATAATTGTTTATTTGTAATTCTTGCGTTTGTTATAGAATGACTTCTTTTTGTTTGAGAGTATTCTTTTTTTTTTTTTTTTTTCTTTTCATTTTTGACTTCGTAAAAAAGTAGAAGAAAAAGGGACTTTGTTTTTGTTTATTTTCTTTTTATTTCTTTGATTTCTTCATGACAAGTTGAAGTGTGTTTATTTTTTGTGCTTCATGTGCTTCATTTGCTACATTGTAGACCATTTATTAATCTAGTTTCATGGCTACTGATTTTGTCACTACCTTGATTTGAACCCATATTGCATGCTATTTCTAATATACTGTTTCAATAAACATATACTCTGTACATGGTTTATCTGTCGCTTCTTATTGGACTTTGGTTTTGATGCTATTCTCTCACGACTAGAAATGAAGAGCTTAGGTGCATTGATGATTTGTCATGTTTCTTTTGCTAGTCTGATCTTGAAGTGCTAAGCAATTATGCCTTGTTAATGCATGTGTACCAAGAACATGATTATTAGTTGTGTTTTGATTCATAATCTTTTGTAGTCTTTCTTTAGATTTGTAAGTACCCTTTTCTAGTTAAATGTATGACATTTGGGCACTTCTTTTTGAACAAAAATATCACAATGCACAAATGGACACTTCTTGTTGTGCAAATGGCTTTACTTGGTTTGTCTAAATAGTGAGAGTATTAGAATTTCAAAAAACTTTTTTTATCAAACTTTTGGAGGCATTAGTTTATCTTCTTCATTTGGTGCTTCTGTTTGAGTGGGTACTATAACTAATGATACAATGAGATTCGTAACTTATCTTGATTTACCTTCCTACACCACAACGATTCTTTTTGTTGGAAATTGACATAAATGTAAATCTCAACTGACTTAATGCTATGGATTTTCGCTTCAAAAGTCATTTTAATAAACACAATTCTGGTGTACGATGCTCTTATTTGTCAAAAGCAACTCCCCTCTCCTTAAAAAGGAAAATTTTTGTACCATGGCTTATAACAAGAAAAAAATAAGTAATTGGGGAGTGCTATCGTAATCAGCAACGTAGAGAAATGTGCTGAATTATTTCAATATGTTATCTGCTAATGTGAACCCCCAAACCGCTATATATCTGCATTTGATAAATGGTGTTAGCATTTGAGTTTTGATCATATGGTTTCTTACTGACTAAATGTTATAAGTTTGTTTTTCTTTTGGTTTTGTGGTAGTTGCGTGAATTTGTGTACAAAATTACACGCACATGATTTTGTTTTTCAAGAGGCTATTTCAAAAATAATATTGAGAGCAAGCACCACTGAATGATGTAGAGTGAGTTGAACTTACAATATTATGTATAGATTTCCCTCCACTATACAAGGATTGCACCCATCATTTTATCTGTAAAAGCAGATGAGAGACAGCAGATGAGAGACAGTCACTTATTATACCGTTGGGGAACTTTGTTGTTTTTATATTGCAAAGAATTTAATTACTCTTATATTTCCCTGAGCTAGAAGATCAAAGTTCCATGTTTATATAGCCTTCTGAATTTAGTTTATGTTCATCATGGAATATTTTCCTGTTTTTATCTTAAAAAACTTGAAGGGCGTGAATATCATTATTGTCAATAATCTAGGGATCGATCTCCTATATTTGCCTCTTTGTGCATTAATTATAATCGTTCGTGGATTTATATTTTATAATTACTATTCCATTTTTTTTTTTTTTGTTGCTAATTCTTTTAGTAAATGCTCTCATTTCAGGCAAGAAAAGGATGTTTTGAGAGATACGGGCTGAAGATGGGAAGGCTTATGTCAGTCTTCAGGTAAGCAATAAGTAAAGCGCAGTGAGTTGCATTGCTGCACCACCATCAACATTCAACCTTGCACCACTGTTTTTATATTTGCGATGTTTGGGTGTGGCTAGTGGTGGTTGATTTAGTAGTCATATTTTTGGGTTAAATTGGCAGTTGTATTTGGGTGACCGAAATACTGATTTGATGGTGGTTGATTGGGTTGCGATGGTAATTGTTGTGTTAGCAGCAGGTGGTGAAGGGGTCAGATAACTAATTTGTACATCTTATGTCCCATACCTTGTTTCTTTACACAAATTTTTTGTCCGATCTAGTTCAATGGGATTCGAACCATTTGATCTTGTTCAATATGTCTATAAATATACTAAAACAATGTCCACTCTTTAAAATTTTAATTTTCCCTCCTAAAATCCTACTATTTTCCCTCTCAATCTCACTTTTTTTTTTCTTTTACTTTTCTCTGGACTTCTAGAATATTTTGAATCCATATTTAGTTATTCATTTTTTTTCTTGATAAAAAAAGGTTATGTTATTCATATTTTTATTTATAATTGTTTAGTCATTCTTAGAATCATCCATAACTTATGAAAATAGATTGATTAAGTATTTAAGTTACTTTGAATACTATCTTAAAAAATACCTTATTTACAAGACATTGATAATATAGGTTTCTCCTTGCGTTTAAATTAAAGTAGAACGGAGGAAGTAAATGACTTATCTTTTTTTTTTTTTTTTTTTTTTTTTAAGGTAACGGTTATTAATAATAATTGTCCTTTTTTTGTATTGATGGACTCTATGCACTGGTCTACGTTACCTAGAGATAAATCACTTACTTTACCAAATTATTTCCGCAAATTCAATTCGAATTGTGACAACACAAAGCAGGTTTAGTGATTAAATTGTGACTTTATGTGAGCTAGCCAAATTAAGGCACTTTGAATTATTATGACCACTTTGATTGGGGCATAGTTTTGATGATTATTAGGCCTAATTGTTTCTTAAATAAAAGCATGGAAAATAATAAAAGCGATAAAGATCGAAGAGGAAAAATATAATTATGCGTACTAGTTAGACCAACTAGGACAAACCGACTACAATGATGGCCATAAATAATGATAATAATATTTAAAGCATGATTAAAGGATAATTAATGCATAATTAAAGCGTAATTACAACAATAATTTAGGAGATTACACTTAAAATGAGCCTTGGGTCCATGTGACTTGATTAAAATCAGGTTGAATGAGTTTGGCCAAGTCCAAATTTGATTCAATTTTATTAGGATTTTAAGGAGAGTTAGGGTTTTAGTAAAAAAAATGGTCAATTGAATCAAATAAAATTACTAAACCTAGTTATAGCTTATAGTGGTAAAAAATAAAAAGCTCAAATTCTAACAGGATGCATATGGTATTATTATACACCTTGTGTAAAATTATTGGAATTTTTAAAGGTTAGGAACATTCCTTAATGAATTTTATAAGTCAATACACCAAGCTGGGTAAATTCAAGTTTCAAGGTTAGGAACAATTTTGAATCGACATATACTAACTCTAATGGACTGAAAAATTAACACAAGGTTCATCACTGTCCCAGAAAGAACACATCAAATATTTAGGATTTTTAGGATAGTATTCAATTTTTAATGATTTTTAAAAGATTCCTGCTCTTGTTAAGTAATCTAAAACGCTAAACATCGCCCGCAAATCTCCACATAAAGCCCACAAATTTGAAATGAAATGACATTTTTGCCCTCAACATCAAAAACACACTTTTATCTTAAAACACACTGTTATGGCTAATAAACGGGAAGTGGCGGCACCGGAGGCGGTTTCGCGGTGGAAGTAAACAAAGTCGCCGGATCGCGAAGGAGCCGTGGTGGCAGCGCCCCACCCAGGCGCCACAACCAAGGCTACTGGCGCCTGGCCAGGACGCCACCGCCACGGTGGCGGCGCCTGGGCAAGACGCCGTGGCCACGGTGGCGGCGCCTGGGCAAGACGCCGTGGCCACGGTGGCGGCGTCCACTGAAGACGCCACCACCGTGGCTACGGCGTCCTGCCCAGGCGCCGCCACCGTGGCGGTGGCGTCCTGGCCAGGCGCCAGTAGCCTTTTTTTTTTTTTTTCAAATTTTTTTTAATTTTTTTTTTCAATTTTTTTTTCCTATTTTTTTTTTTAAAATGTATTTTGTTTTTTGGATTTTCTTTGCAATTTTTTTCTTTATTATGTTTTTGTTTCCTAAATTTTTTTTATTATTTTGGTTTTTTCTTTCTAATTTTGTTTATTTTTTGAATTTACTAAAGCATATTTTCAAAATAAATTAATTTTTTTTTTGTTTTTTTAAAAAAAAAATTCAAATTTATCAAAATTCAAACAAAATAAAAAAAAAAAAAAACCAAAACGAAAAAAAAGATTTTAAAAAAAATATACCGAGGAGGTGGCGCCTGGCCAGGACGCCACCACCGTGGCTGGGGCGCCTGGCCAGGACGCCACTACCATGGTGGCGGCGTCCTGGCCAGGCGCCCCAGCCACGGTGATGGCCTCCTGGCCAGACGCCCCATCCACGGTGGCGGCGTCCCGGCCAGACGTTCGCCGCCAAAACTTGATTTTTAACCACTTCAGACCTCGTTTTCCGGCTACGACGGCGGCTCTTTGGTGTCCCTCGGCGATCCGGCGTTGTTCCACATTTTGGGTGAGACAAAATTTCGTTTTAGGTTAAAATTAGAACAAGGGCAAAGTTGTCAAAATTTTATAAATTGTGGGCTTTATGAAGAAAAACGCGGGCGATGTTTAACAAGTCCCTAAGTAATCGGATTAAAAAATCAACACATGTCCAAAAATTAGGGCAAAAATCAAGCAAAAATTACAAGACATCAGTCTTAGTGAAATTCCCAGCCTGCTCTATACCGGCAAACGTGTTTGCTTTGACAACCAAAAAAATTAGGGAATTTAACCTCAGGTATCGCCAACCAAATTCTCAATATATCCCTATGTTTTTTTTTTTTGAAAATTCTAACCTAATGTTTGATTTTTCTAGGGCCGAGCAAAACTACCCGAAAATCTAAAAGCCCGTTCCGTTACCATTTTAAAAATTAGGGTACCCGATCCAATAACCATAACGGTTCGGGTACCCGTTCCGATTATTTGTTATCGGGTATAGTTTTGGATATCATTTTAAAATTATATTAACGGTTACCAATTCCGATCCGATAAGCAATTTTTTTTCCTATTTAAATCTATTTTTCCATTATAAAAACTCTTACTTTACTTCATACTCACTATATAATATCAATGATTAGTAATATTATTAATAATTTGGTCAAGATCATGTGGTATTTTTATTGATTTGTGTTAAAAAATATCATAATAATTTTTGTTTTCAGTTTCTTGTTTTTTTGAAAACTAAAAACCAAAAACAGGAAATATGGAAAAGGTGTTTCCACTTTTCTGTTGTCAGTTTTCAAAATTATCATGATTTTAATAAGTCAAAATAATTTTTGATTTATTATGTGACATATATAATATACTGTCAAAAAACAAAAGAACCAAAAAACAGAAAACCACAGCGATGCCAAACGAACCTTAATTTATTAGGTTTAATTATCACTATTGGATACCTTATTGGGTACCCGATAACCGATCCTAATATTCGGGTACCCGAAATCCGAGTACCTGAACTTATCGGTTTGATTTATGGATATCACTTTTAGTGATATTGATTATCGGGTATCCGAACCGTTACAATACCTAAGGAAATTTTCTTTTTTAGAGATTTGCATAAGTAGTTAACTCCCCTAAATATTACTTCCATTTCCCTACATCTTACTCTGTCCCCATAATTGATATCCAGTTAAAAAAAAAGGTCATTGATTACTTATAAAAACAAAAATTATGAATTTTTGTTAAATCATAAAAATAAAAATCATAGAAATCATCATTTTTCTTGGTTATCTTTTGTAAGAAAACTAAAGATAGAGTGGAATAAAGAAACAAGCGAGTGAAATATTCAATATTCAAAATCTATATACTTCCTCCGTTTCTTTATAGTTGCAATACTTCTCTAAAATAGAAATGTCATAATAGTTGCAACACACTATAATTGGAAAGTATTTTATGTCAAAAGTGGTACTATCACCCTTATTATAATCTAATGGCCCACTAAATTATACTCTTAACAATCTCTCTCCTCCATTTTAAGTGTTTTAAATCACATGAGACTCACTTTTCTTAAATATCGTGAAAAAGGGTGTGTTGCAAGTATTAAAAAACGAAGGATATATATATATATATATATATGTATATATATGTATATGTATATATATATGTATATGTATATGTGTATGTATATGTATATGTGTATGTATATGTATATGTATGTATCTGTATGTATATGTATATGTATGTATATGTATCTGTATGTATCTGTATGTATATGTATATGTATATGTATATGTATATATATAAAATAAGGATCATGTGAGAACCAAGTTCTATAATAGAAACTAGGAACTCATCGTGATCGTTGATTGCTCTCAATCCGACGATTTGTGTTTTACCCGCCTTTTTCAATTTCATTAAGGGCATTTTGTAATTTCACCAGTTGAATGACCTTTCTCCTGTTCTTTTCACAGTTCTTTTGTTTCTCTCTCCTCTTTTTCTCTTTCTCTCTCTACTCTTAAATCTCTCTGTATTTTCGTTTCTCTTATATCAAAATCGGGATTTTGTTCTTCGCTGATTAATTTTTTTTGCTGTGATTCTTTGATTTTCGTCATTGTTTGAGGTAATTATTTTTTTATTTATTATACTTTTTGTGATTTTGTGAATTTTTTTTATTGATTTGCGATCTATTTTGCTCGATTTGAGTGTGAAGTTAGGTTTTCGCCATTTTTGTTTGATTAATTTTTGTCTACGTTTTTTATAATCATATATTTGATTAGGATTTGGGTCCTGTCGCTGGTGACATGATGTGTTTTACTCCGTTTGAAGCTCAATCTCTTTTCTATAGGTTTTCGGACTGTTTTCTTATAAACAGGGTTCTTGGACCTCCGTTTTCAATCATCAATTCTCATCAACAATCACCTAATTCTCTCTCTTCTCTCTTGAGCAATATAACTCTCTTTCTCTCTCTTTCTAAACCACCCCTTTTGCAAAAACAACTCCGCATTCACAAGATCTAGACACACCTAGCCAAGTTCGAAGTTGCCTTCACCCTAGACGTGAAAGGTTGATACCTTCTGAGGGTTTGGACCCAAATCCAGTCTAAACTTTTTAACTCTTTCTTTCAATTATTTGATTTAATTCTTTGATTTAATATTTTATTGAAGTTTACTAACACGTGTATTTTGTTATTAGAAAGAGGCACAGGTATCAAAGTATGTAGTCTTATTGCTCTGTTATTGTAGAAAGCATGGTTATTTATGAATTCTTAGTGTCATGTTAGGATGTTTTTTATTGTTTTCTAGTATCATGTTTAGGATGTTTTTTATTCTTTCTAATATTATGTTAGTATCATGTTAGGTCTAAATCTTTGCTTTTTATTGTTTAGTGACATGCTAAGATCTGTTATTCATCTTGTTAGTATCATGCCTAGGATCTTGCTATTACTATTATGCTTTAGCGTTGATATGATTGAGATTATGGTGATTGTTATGATTGTTATAATTGTCAATAATATTATGTTGCTTGATATATATTTATTGTTATTG